TATATATATATATATATAACGATACCTTCCGTCTGCAGCTTACTGGTAAAATTAGAGCACCGGTTATCAGCTCAAGTGTGTTGTTATACTATATCAATCATTCTTCAGCATCATGAACCCAAGATAAATCTGCCACAATAAATACATTGTTAATGAAACAAAAAACACTGGATCAAATATTTTTGGGGAATTTACATACATACCATCCAATTCCTATGAATTACGTATCTAATACCTAAACATTACTTTTAACATTGTGGGTTTACCTTTAAACATATAAAGGGAGAGGGGTCGGGTAAGATCATGTTCGAGTAATTGAAGCCCTACCAAAAGAGAATAATCTATGGTTTAATTGAAGGGTAAATTATTTTTGGTGAAGCACTATGCAACTGACAGAAACCTTAATGATGAAATTAGAAATAAAATTTGACCTAAATATATTGTTATCAAGCAATAAAATTTGACAAAGAAGATGAATATTTTTTTTTTATTTTTTCTCCGATGACGGAAAAATTTAGAGAGTCTTCTTAGATGGTTTGGTCACAAACGTCGACCATCTGATGATATGATTAGGAGAGTAGATGCTTTAGATTCGACTTACATGAAGAAAGGCAAAGGTAGATCTAGGAAGACTTGGGCTTATTGTATAAGAAATAAATTTAATTTATTTGGATTAAATGAAAATATGACACTAAATAGGAGGCAATGGAGAAAAAAAGATTCACATAGCCAATCCCACTTAGTGGGATTAAAGCTTTGTTGTTGTTGATGTAGTATTTTTTTTCCCATTTTTTTACATACCTTCGAGTACAGATTCAACAGCTGCATTCGGAATTAGAAGCCCCACAATGCGCCGTTTATCATCTGTTGTCTCCAAACGAACAATACGAACACGTTTATGACTTTGCCGAGTCTGTCGAGACCAATATTATTACATCAATGAAATTATATTACATAGAGAACATGCAAAAAAAAAAAAAAAAGAGAAAAGTATGTTAGCCTTGCCAACAAAAAAAAAAAAAAAAAAAAAAGAAAATTGAAAAGCAAAAATAATATTTACAGTAAAGAAAATGCCCAACTTTCTCTTCATGCAAAAAGACACGGCACAGACGCATACCAAACATTTAGGTTTGAAGGAATTATATGCGAATTAAACACATCTTAACAGCACAAAATATAGAAAATCCAAACATTAAAAATAACTTCTGAAGAACATGCGAGTTTCATCCCACTAGATTAGAAATAAAGGTTATTAAGAGCATCTTGTGGTTTGGTGTGATAACAATGAAATAACAATGAAATAGTGCTTGATAAAATCATTCAAAATTCTGATGAATTCGTTGTTGTCATCCAACGTTATCATCCTCAACAAGCATCATTAGCCTAATCTTAATTCTTAAGTACTTGGGGCGTTCAGATTTATAAATCTCCATCTTCCATGTAGTCCCATTATGCATTGCATGAGGCATTCAAATTTGTTCTATGCGATTGCTTTACGCAAATTCATAAAATTATATTGCAAATACACCTCAAGTTAGGAAGATTTCCATACAGACCACTCAATTCTTATGTATTTACATATCCATCTAAACTTCAATTATTACATGTCACCTTACCCATGTATAAAAATGTGTATTTAGCTATTTGAAATTTAAAATGGTAGTACTAACCCAAACCACATTAGGAAACATAGCTATTATTACGGGAAGCAAATAGGTGATTATAATTAAACACACTTAAAAGTGAAATACAACACGAACAACACACAAACTCATGTTCGGGTGGACCCCGGGCGGTGATAGTGGTGTGGTTAGAGGGCCTAGCATGGTAGCGGCAAGGTAGAGAAGGGGTTTGCGGGTTGTGGATGAGAAGTGACAGCGATTATGCGTGGCTGGAACAGCAGGGCAGCAAGGAGCGACACCCCAAACAACAGCAGTTGGCTGTTTGGAGAGGCTGGACAATGGCAGCAAGCTGAAATGAGGGAAACAACAGTCCGTGTGGCTGGAACAGCAGAAAAAAATCCGGATGGAGGTGACAAAGAGCAGGAATTGATGGCGGTACCGGTGGTGAAGGCGTGGGAATGTGAAACAGTCCAAGGAGGGCTGTCAATGGGCTGCGGCAGCGAGAAAGATGGCTGGACCACGAAAAACTGCAAGAAGATAACAACAATATTGTTGTCGGGGCGGCTGCAGCGAGGAGGAAGTTGCAGGGGTGCAAAAAGGTGTAGGGAGGATATAAAAAGAGACGTCGACGGCTGTCCAGATACAAAACACACAAAAAACTAATCTTAAAACATAAAAAATTCAAATATATAATAATAGGATAAGGAGTGGCCAAGTGGGCCGATAGACTGTTTGACTGTGAAAAAACTTGGACGAGTTCTGTCCCGGTGAGAAAACGACGACTGCATGATCCAGCTCTTGTATGTAGGATGCGGAGAGGGAGGGGGGGGGGGGGGGGGGGGGGGGTGTTCTTGACAGTTCCCGTGCCATATCTTTTGACATGATATGTAAAATTTGGGTGGTATAAATGTAAGAAATAAATTTAGGTGTTAGAAATGTAAATACATAGGAATTGAGTGATATGTATGTAAATGCCACCCTTGAGTTCTCTCTACATGAATAAATGGAACTTTAAAGATCATAGAAAATTTGAAAAAAACCAAGAAATAAATGCATCAATGAAAATAAATGAAACCAGGAGCCAAGTATAGGGGGGCATACTTGCTTAGCTAGCGCCTTTTCTATTGTGCCCCAAACCGGAAGAATGAGCCCACCTAAAATATTGATTTCTTGTTGCCTTCTTCCAACAGTACAGTAGCTTCCAAGCTTGCATTTGGGTCCATGCATGCACTGAAAAAGGAGCAGGTCACTATTAATACCAAAAAGGAAAATTTACATACATACAACTCAATTCTTATGTATTTACATATTTAACATCCAAACTTGAATCTGACATACATACCACCATACCTATGCAAGAAAAGGTGTATTTCACTTTTTAAAATTTAAAATGGAGATATTTTTTTGTGATATAAAAGATTTGGGTGGTATAAATGTAAAAAGCAAAATTTAGACTTTAGATATGTAAATACATAGGAATTGGGTGGTATGTATGCAAATGCCCGTCAAAAATAAAGCATGCATAGTGTAGCACACCATGATAACAGATTCATCCATGATGAATCATCACAATACAGAAAATAAACAGCTGTTTGCTTTTTTTTCTTTTGTGGGCATCACTGGTATTAATTGGTTGCAAACCAAAAATATATGAGCTTAAAGCTTATATCCCTAATGCAATCCAAATAAAATTAGAAAATACTTGGCCGATCTTTTTTTGTTCGATCACAAGTAACAACTCAAGTATACATATCTTTAAAGACTTGAATAATGATTAAAAACACACATGAATTTCATTGAACTTTACATACGTACATATATAACAAGAAGTCGATTAATGACGACACCATTCATATATAAAATTGCATTAATGATGGCATTTATCACATTAAAACATTTTTTGCTCCTATTTTCCAAAGCATATTGATGAGCGGGCTAGGCGGAAACCTAGACCGATTCGTTCCAGGTTGAGGGACGACCCGCTCTCTCTAGGCCTAGAATTGTCGACTAATTGAAGTGGAACCCACTCATAATAGCAATGGGTATATTGTTTTTTACGGATTTGAGTTTGTAGAGTAGCCAACTCTTCATTTTCCTTTCTAGGGCTATATTCTATAAGTTCAACTGATATTCAAGCTGTATCCTGGTCTTCAGATGGTGTTTATCTTTCCTATACCTTTCTCCCATCTTTTCCCGCATCACTCCCACATCCCCTTTATCATTTGCCTGCTGCCGCTACCTAGAAGCAAGTAACTTGCTGTTTTCTACGTCTAAGCTGCAGCCACCGCCCTGACACAACAATCGTCTTGCTGTCCTCTCCTTCCTCCTTGCTGGCACCACCCAAAACAACCTTCCTACGGTTCTACCCGCTTGCCCCCTTGCTGCCGCCACGCCGAACTGCCAGCCTCGTGGCTATTTTGACAAACGTCCTTGTTGCTGCTACCTTGGATAACCTTCTGTAGTTGTTCCTACTGCTTGATTGCTGTCCGGACTCCTGGAAATAGTTGTCGCTATTTTGAGCTTGCTAGTTGCCTCCTCGTGACCACTCTTGAGTGGTCCAAACCATAATTGGAACCACTTACACACTATTCTCTAATAATTCTTATTATTATTTGCTTTTAATTTGTTGTATTTTGAATTTCTAACTTCTATAAAATTACTAGTAATTGCGTTGTATTTCTCCTCACCTTATTTCATACCCCGATTATCGTATCATTTGATATCAGAACTTGCCCAACCCTAGTTTCGTCTTAGGATGACCTAAACCTTTCAAACCATAGCCAAATCTTCACTTAACCCTAATCCCTCCTTGCTGATTTTCAAAATCAACCACCCTAATTTTTTTTTGGCATCTTAAATCAAATCCATGCACCCTTTTTCTCCTAACAAACCTAAAGCCTAGCCATGCCACCGAGGAGATGAGTGCGGAAAGCTGATCGAGTAGTTACCATAGAAGTGATGCGGCAGGAAATTCACCGACTTCAGTAAAGACTTGCTGAAATTGAGAAAGGGATCCATGGAGAGATCACCATCGATCGTGATAGTGAGATTTGATGAGAAAAGAGGGAGGAAAATCTGAATCCCTTCCATATGAATGATTCCGATGAAGAGGAAGATAAGCCATAGGGCTTTGAAATTTAACATCAGAGAAAGCTGAGAGATGGAGTAACTTTTGGATGCCATGGGAGACATGGAGGTGAAGGTTAGACTTATCAGATTTCAAGAGGATGAATTCAAACGACTTCATTGAGTGGTTGCAAACCGTCGAGAGGATTTTTGAGTAAAAGGAGATACTAGTTGATAGGAGGGTGAAACTTGCTGCCATAAAGCCGAGTGCCTCTTTATGGTGACAAAATCTAAAAAGAGAGAAAAAGAGAAGTTAGGAACAAGAACCCTATTTGGGAGAAGATGAAAAAGAAAATGCAGAGTATCTACCCCACACTACCGCCAGAACATATTCTCGAGGCTACATAACTTACATCAAGGGAGGGAAATTGTCAATAGAGAAGTTCACAACAGAGTTTGAGTAGCTCTATGCTGAAATATGAGCTGAGAGAGCCAGAGGAGAACAACGTAGCTAGGTATTTGGGTAAGCTAAAGTTAGCCATCAGCCATGTCGTTCGACTACAACCTCACTAGTCATTGAGTGTTGTTCAGATATCAGTAACATCAGAAGAAAATCAAGATCACGCCTTCATTTAGACAGTCAGTCATAGTAGGAGGAGCCACCAATACACCTAAGGAAGGTGTGAAAACTGTCTAGAAAGATGATAGAGTTAATCATAATGGGAAGAAGCCCGAGAGAAATAGTACACCCAACACAATCTTGCAATGAACTGTTTTAGATGTTATTGGTTTAGATACATCGCCTCTAGTTGCCATTCTACCAAAGTTGTCTCTTTTACTAATCAGAGAGTACAAGTGGACATTGGTACAAGAGACATATAAGATAGTGATGAGTATCATGAGTACTAGCTTCCAACTAATGAGAGCGAGATGCTTGTGAATTGACAAGAAGTTTAGATTGAAGCTATGAGAGAGCAACAGTGGCTTCGCCACATCTTTTATACCTGTTGAATTGTGAAGGGAAATTTGTGCAGCCTTATTATCGATGGAGATAGTTGTGAGAATATTGGTGTCAAAACTGATGGACAAATTAAGTCTCACTACTCAGGGACATTTCGAACAATATTCCAACTTGGTTGAAGAAGGTTAACATGGTTAACATTGACAAGAGATTTCTCATAGAGTTTTCTATTGATGATCCGTTGCATGACTAGGTATGGTGTGATTTTGTTGTACCCAATCACGACTGTCACAATCTGTTGGGGAGAAAGTGATAGTTTGATTACAAGGCAACATGATGGATTCAAGAAAACTTATTTATCAAGGAAAACACATAGTTCTCCTATCTTTTGCGGAGCCCAAGGTTATACGTGCTCTTACCATGAGAAAGAAACCAGTAGGATCAATTTAAGCGATGTTAGAGGATAGTGAGACAGAGAGCCGATATCAAACACAAGACAACCGCTACGGAGAGAGTTCAAGATGCCCTGTCAGACAAATTATTGTTAAGGCTACCACCATTAGGGGAGGTTCAACTTGTCTTCACTTCAGAGAAGAATGAGCCAGCCTTGAACTACTTTTGGAGGACTTTGCAGAGTACGTTTGACACAAAGTTTTAGTTCAACAATTTACCAACATATGGTTGGACAGATAAAGATGGTTACCCGCACTTCAAAAAATCTTGTCATGTACTTTGTAGGACAGAGCATCCGACATTGGGATTCTGGTACTTCTAGAGACAGTCGAAGATCCTCCAATCCCGAGAGGTTACGACAGCTCCGCCACCTTCAACGTTGTCAGCCTAACACCATATCATAAGAAGTTAAAAGCTTCGACAGATGAGGTTGAAGCTCCACTAACCTGGGTAGACAAATGTTGGGATTGGGAGGAACTTGGACTTGTTTGCCCTAGGTTATGAGAGTGTCGGTCAGCCCTCTCTAGGCTTAAGGTTATGAGGCCCACTAATAATAGTAGCATGTCTTGAGTTTGTAGAGCCACCGACTCTTCTTTTCCCTTTTTTGGATTATATCTTACTGTTCCAAGTGGTGCACCGACCGTATCTCGGTCTTCAGGTGGTATTATCTTTCTTATACCTTTCTACCTTCCTTTCCTGCATCACTCACACATCCCTTCATCGTTTGCATGCTGCTGTCGCCTAGAAAACATAAAACTTGATAATTTCTGCATCGACCTTCAGCCACAGCCCAAGGACAGCAGCTGCCTTGCTGTCCTCACCTTCCTCACCGCTGCCACCCATAACAGCCTTCCTACGGCTGTACATGCTTGCCCCCTTGCTGCCATGACCCCAAACTGCTAGCCCCACAGCTGCTCTGGGCCACATCCTTGCTGTTGCTGCACCAAACAACCCTCCCACAATTGTTCCTGCTGCTTGCTTGCTTTCCGGTCTCCCGGAAACAACTGTCATGATGTTTCCAGCTTGCTAGTCGTCTCCTTGCCACCACCCGAAAGTCCAAACCCTAATTGGCACTACCTACACCCTATTCCCTAATATTTTGTATTTTATTTGTTTTTATTTTGTTGTATTTTCAATTTCTAGCTTCCATAAATTTCAGTCTCTTTGCCACCACCCCGAAGGTCTAAACCCTAACTGGCACTACCTACCCTATTCTCTCATACTTTTTATTGTTATTTGCTTTCAGTTTGTTATATTTTCAATTTCTGGCTTCTATAAAATTACTAGTGATTGTCTTGTGCTTCTTCTCACCTTATCTCCATACTGATTCCAATATCACGCTTTTTTTTAAAAGCCCAAAGGCTAATATATTAAATAGAAAGTAGGATACAAATATATTGTGTAGGAGGGCCTAAACATGACACCCTGCCCACACGATAACCACCACATCAAATAGTTCCAAAAAGAGAAAATACAAAAAAAATACATGAGACCTAAAAAAAAACAAAAAAATGTAAGAAAAATGGAGCATCACGTTGCTAGAGAGCGACCCAATTTTGCCTTCTCTGGCTCTAGTTCTAGGGAAGGATCCAGCTACTAAATTGGTAAGATGAGTGCCATTTCCAGTAATAACCAATATATCATCCAATTAATTCTTGAGCTCGAGTTGGCTTTCGTTTTTCTTTTTTCTCCTGGAATAGACCTGTCATTCCTCATTCAAAGATTGACTCACCTAATCAGTGGAATGGTC